AGTCACCTTCCTGGGGCACGTCGTCAACGCACATGGCGTTCATGGGGACCCAGAGGAAGTTGCAGTAGTTAGAGTGGCCCGTACCATGGTCCACAAATAAGTTACCTAGTTTCCTGGGGTTAGCCTCCTATTACCGCCGTTTTGTGAGGAACTATTCAGAAATCGCTAGCCCTTCGATAAGGTTGACTAGCAAAAATATTCCCTTTTTTGATGTAGTTGTGTTCTCTATGCTGGATGGTTTATTTACGAAGCTTTCACTGCCCTACTAGGAGACATCTTCAGCGCATATTTCAATTTGAAGTGAGCTTTTAGATTTCTCTACGAGTTTATTAGTCATCTCCCCCGGTGGCCCTGAACATGATTGGTTGTTTCTGTGTGTTTTCACGCCCTCTAGGCCACTTGTATTGGTACTGATTGTTTCCTTGACCTGAAGTTTGACCCGTTGTTTGTGAGATTTCTTTCTTATCTTTGTCTAATTTTGTCTATCTCAGTGTGTCTATTGACTGACGATTCACGGGCTTCTAAAATTCTCTAGCATTCTTGGTGTTTCCTATGTCTAATATTTGAACGTTGTCCCAGTCGAATTGGTGTCCGTAGTTGTCTGTATGTAGTGATATGAGGGAGTGGATGTCATGTCTTCTGACGGCTAATTTATGCTCATTGATACGAAGACGAAGGAGACGTCCACTTTGGCCAATCTAGTGTTTTTCGCAGTCACTGCAACTTATTTTGCAGATGATGTTGGTTTTATCTTCTTTTTCTGTGGTGTCTTTCGTTTGACACAGCTGAGTTGAGTGATTTTGTTGATTTGTGTGCTACATCAATTCGTAAAGGTTTGAAGAGTCTTGCAGTGATTTCTGAGATGTCCTTTATATATGGTAGGGCGATTTTCTTTGTACTTTTCCTTGGGGGCTTTTGGTTTGATAGGTTGGCTTGGGGGTACATGGCTCTTGATGTAGTTCCATGGATATCCATTCTTTTGGAAGACATCCATGAGATATCTTTCTTCAATTTTCCTTAAGGTGGGAGTACTGCAGTGAGTTTCGACCCTCTTGAATAGTGTTTGTATACAACTCCTTTTGTGTGTAGTTGGATTGTTGCTGTTGTAATTCAGTATTTGGTCTGTGTGAGTTAATTTTCTATAAACTTGAGTTTCTAATTTTCCTGTGGTTGTTAGCTTGACTAAGACGTTTAAAAATGGGATTTTGTTCTCAGATTCCTCTTCTCTTGTGAATTTGATGTCGTTGAGAACGCTGCTTATTAAGTTGTGAGTCTTGTCCAACTCGTTTCTTTTGATTATTACGAATGTGTCATCTACGCAACCTATCCAAATTTTGGGTTTGATCTTTGGTAGGATTATGTTTTCGAGTCTTTGCATCACTGCTTCTGCAATCAAACCTGATATAGGCGACCTCATGGGTGTTTCTTTGACTTGTTCATATATTTGGCTGTTGGATTGGAAGTACGTTGTTAGGCATAGGTTTATGCATTCCATCCAGCTTGTGTGTTGCATTTTTGATTGTTATGGGAGGTGTTCGTCGTTGCTGAGTAATTGCTCCATGGTATCTTTTGCTAGTGTCTGTCCAATTGAGGTTTATAATGCTGTGACGTCGAAGGATATCATTATTTCTTGGTTGTCTACTTGAATGTCTCTGATTTCCTCTACAAATTGGATAGTAGATTTGATGGAGTGATCGCAGGAATCCGTTAAGTGCTTCAATTTTCTATATAGTTGTATCCTCAGATTGTATGTTGCATTTCCTCGCATATATACAATCTGAGGATACAACTATATAGAAAATTGAAGCACTTAACGGATTCCTGCGATCACTCCATCAAATCTACTATCCAATTTGTAGAGGAAATCAGAGACATTCAAGTAGACAACCAAGAAATAATGATATCCTTCGACGTCACAGCATTATAAACCTCAATTGGACAGACACTAGCAAAAGATACCATGGAGCAATTACTCAGCAACGACGAACACCTCCCATAACAATCAAAAATGCAACACACAAGCTGGATGGAATGCATAAACCTATGCCTAACAACGTACTTCCAATCCAACAGCCAAATATATGAACAAGTCAAAGAAACACCCATGAGGTCGCCTATATCAGGTTTGATTGCAGAAGCAGTGATGCAAAGACTCGAAAACATAATCCTACCAAAGATCAAACCCAAAATTTGGATAGGTTGCGTAGATGACACATTCGTAATAATCAAAAGAAACGAGTTGGACAAGACTCACAACTTAATAAGCAGCGTTCTCAACGACATCAAATTCACAAGAGAAGAGGAATCTGAGAACAAAATCCCATTTTTAAACGTCTTAGTCAAGCTAACAACCACAGGAAAATTAGAAACTCAAGTTTATAGAAAATTAACTCACACAGACCAAATACTGAATTACAACAGCAACAATCCAACTACACACAAAAGGAGTTGTATACAAACACTATTCAAGAGGGTCGAAACTCACTGCAGTACTCCCACCTTAAGGAAAATTGAAGAAAGATATCTCATGGATGTCTTCCAAAAGAATGGATATCCATGGAACTACATCAAGAGCCATGTACCCCCAAGCCAACCTATCAAACCAAAAGCCCCCAAGGAAAAGTACAAAGAAAATCGCCCTACCATATATAAAGGACATCTCAGAAATCACTGCAAGACTCTTCAAACCTTTACGAATTGATGTAGCACACAAATCAACAAAATCACTCAACTCAGCTGTGTCAAACGAAAGACACCACAGAAAAAGAAGATAAAACCAACATCATCTGCAAAATAAGTTGCAGTGACTGCGAAAAACACTAGATTGGCCAAAGTGGACGTCTCCTTCGTCTTCGTATCAATGAGCATAAATTAGCCGTCAGAAGACATGACATCCACTCCCTCATATCACTACATACAGACAACTACGGACACCAATTCGACTGGGACAACGTTCAAATATTAGACATAGGAAACACCAAGAATGCTAGAGAATTTTAGAAGCCCGGTATGCCAATGAATCGTCAGTCAATAGACACACTGAGATAGACAAAATTAGACAAAGATAAGAAAGAAATCTCACAAACAACGGGTCAAACTTCAGGTCAAGGAAACAATCAGTACCAATACAAGTGGCCTAGAGGGCGTGAAAACACACAGAAACAACCAATCATGTTCAGGGCCACCGGGGGAGATGACTAATAAACTCGTAGAGAAATCTAAAAGCTCACTTCAAATTGAAATATGCGCTGAAGATGTCTCCTAGTAGGGCAGTGAAAGCTTCGTAAATAAACCATCCAGCATAGAGAACACAACTACATCAAAAAAGGGAATATTTTTGCTAGTCAACCTTATCGAAGGGCTAGCGATTTCTGAATAGTTCCTCACAAAACGGCGGTAATAGGAGGCTAACCCCAGGAAACTAGGTAACTTATTTGTGGACCATGGTACGGGCCACTCTAACTACTGCAACTTCCTCTGGGTCCCCATGAACGCCATGTGCGTTGACGACGTGCCCCAGGAAGGTGACTTCCGTTCTGAATAGGAGACATTTAGTGGGTTGAATCTTGAGTCCTACCTCCTTCAAACGTCCCAAGACCATTCGAGGTGTTCTTTGATACTATGACTGAAGACAGTGACATCGTCTAAATATACCATTCAAGCTAGTCCCTTGAGTACCGTATGCATCAACCCTGCTGGTGCGTTACTTAAACCGAAGAGCATAGTCTGGAATTCGTACAACCCAGCGGGTATGCTGGAAGCGGCTTTACTCCGGTCATCACGGTGCACTTCGACCCGCCAATATCCGGACGCTAAGTCAAGGGTTGAAAACCAGATGGTTCCTGATAGTGCTTCCAAAGTCTCGTCAATTCTCGGTAAGCGATAAGCATCTTTCCGTATCGCTGCGTTTACTTTCCTGTGATCAACACACAAGCGGAGGTATCCGATTTTCTTTTTAACTAGCACTATGGGGGAAGCCCACAGTGAATTTGTTGGCGTAATTATTTTTTTCTGCAACATTTCCTCAATCATGCTTTCAAGCTGTGGGCGGAACTTAGATGGAACTCGGCGAGGTGCTTGTCTTATTGGGGGCAAAATTTTTAGTTTCGATAGTATGTTGGATAGCTGTTGTTCTCCCCAGATCAGCCAGTGACCACGGGACCAACTCAGAAAATTCTCGAATAAGCTGATGTACGGCCTCCATGTGTTCTTCAGGAACTTGTGATGGCATGTTTTCCATCAAGGTAGTACCAACTGTATTCACACTCAACTGGAGATACCTGTTACCACTCTCTAACCCGAAAAGTAATGTGGAACCTAATAGAGTGAGCGTTTGAGATTCAATATTGATCGAGGCCTTACAACTGTGGAGGAGATCATAGCCTATAATTAAGTCCGAAGATAATCCATTAACTAACTTCTAGGCAGGGATGCCAAATGTGGTCATATTTACCTTCCCACAATATTAGCAGTTCATAGGTTACTTTCGTTCGGGACCCATTGGTCACTTGAATTTGTAGGTGGGGGGGGGGCTGGCTGTCACGAATTTATCACTACAATATGTGCCGGACAACAACGTGAGAGCCGCACCTGTATCTACCAAGCCAATGAGGGTTTTGTCTTGAAATCTCACTAAAACAGTTAGTAAGTGCTTAGCTATATATGGGCCCTCTGATATTTGCATAACACTGGGTACAACAAAGAGACTCACCATTTTCGTCTGAGACACGATGGCTCGCCATCCGACGTGATTGTCTCGGGATGTATCTTGCATTGTGAGGAGATCGGGGAAACAGTTTTTGTAATATGCTGATGAGATACCATTGGTTCTTGGCGCTGTGACACCATACCCGACCATTCTGTTGTTAGTTGTTTTCTACGAGGATTTGTGGGCGATCTGAAGTGCCTCAACAGGCGACGTAGGGTTACTTTCGATGACGCACTACCTCATTTCATCGAAGAACAAATCTTCGAACTGGCTGGTGTTAACACCGGGGAGACTGTGGAGGTAGGTTAGCTGTTCACGTCCGTGCGTCGAGCATTTGCGTCACACACTCACGTCCTTGGGCAGCGGGCCGTCTTTCACGCCTGTGTCCAACGCCTTGGAGAAAGTACACATGAATACCTCTGGCTCCTATGACTTTTGAGGGAGACTCAGTAGAAGCGTAGCGCTCAGCATGGTTGATATGTTATTGTTTTTTCTGTTATATTACAGTGTTGTGGGTGTCGCTCTTCGTTGACAAAATGGCCCTAATTCAACGAAACACTAATGGTGAATTTGATGTCTTCAGATATATTGTTAATGAATTTGTGGGTATATTCCAAATCATTTCTTTAAATTATTAAAAATGTGTCATCAACGTAACATGCCCAGATTTTTGGTTTAATTAGATGTAGAGCTATTAATTCTAATCTTTGTATAACGGCTTCAGTTATTAATCCTGATATAGGCGATCCCATTCATGTTCATTTAATCTGTTCATATATTTGATTATTGACTTGGAAGTATGTTGTACGATATAATTCTATAAGTTCCATCCAAGTTGAGCATTGCATTTTTGTGTTCTCATCGTTATAGAGTAATTGTTGCGTATTTTTTTTCCTTCGCGTTCCCCAGTGGAACATAGGGCTTCAAGCTAATGGCTTGAAGTTTCTGTAGCAGTGTTTATTTTACAGGATGGGGTTGCTAGCCTCATGCCCAACCTTTCCTCTTCACCAGTATTGTTGCGTATAGTTTATTTTAATTCATGGAAAATTCCCATTGTAACATATAGAAAATCAAAACAAGTGATTCAGCGAAGAGACTCTATTCAACTAATTTATCATTAAGCTGTACAATCGTGTATATATATATGGTTTCTAAGAAATTACATCCGATGAGGGAATTATATCATACATAGTGTGAATACATAAAATAATAATAGTAGTATGAAATGCAATTAAAACTAAAATGTTTGTGATTATAATCATAGGTAAATGTCAAGTGGCAAAACAAATTAATGTCACATATATAGAATAATCCATAGGATGGATAGAACTTGGATAGGGTGTGCAATTATAGGATTAGTAGACAAATCGAATAAAATAAAAACGTTACGTAATATTGTGTGAAATTCGATAGCATAGAATTTAACGTTGTAAAAAAGAAGAATTGATTTAGAATGACAAGTGGAACAAGTGAAATAATACCGGGGACAGTTCAAAGTGAGAATCATAGTAATAGTAGGGACAGTTGACGTAATAAAGGAAAAGTATACAAATTGAATAGACAAAATGAAAAGTTGGATATAACTTCATAAAAACCATATATATATATATAAGCACCACATTCTCTAAACAGCAGATGCTATTGCAATTCACATCAAACAACCAGTGCTCTGTGTGCAAAAGAAACAAGTTCAGCTACTACTACTACTGCTCTGGCCGGCCTTCAGCGGAGACAATAAATTCATGAATTTGATTATATATATATATATATATATATATATATATATATATATATATAGATTGAAAATCCCCATTGAGTCATATGAAAAAGAGAAGACATTCAGCGAAGAGACTCTTTTCGGCGAATTCATTCACATAGCTGTACAATCGCATTTATATATAAATATTTGTGTGTGTGTGTGTGTGTACATGAGGTTTGTCAAGTTTAGATAATTGATTAGTTAATACAAGAATGATGTAGTATAGAGACAAAGTTAATCAGACAGCAACTAAAGTAAGACTGAGTTAAAAAAAAACAACTAGATGACGTAATATAATTGGCTAAAATGTTACAACTTAGGTCAGGATAGCAACAGAGGTAATTACAGGTAGAGATTAAGTAGAAGTGAAATTGAGTGAATAAGTTGGATGACGTAACATGAATGACTAGAAACTGAGCGTTGTTCAGGTCAGTAACAGTGGTAGTGGGGTGTAGAGATTGAATCGGGTGGGGGTAGAGAACAAGAAAGTTGAAATTGTAAAATGTTACAATTGAGAAAGCAAAATAATACTAATGAAGAGACAGAAGAAAAGATTAGGTAGAATTTACATGTCGGCTAATAAGATAGATTACGTCCATTGCAAGTGTAGTGATTGAACGAACTTCTTCTGTATGCAGAGTTCAGGACTTAGCAAGTGGATCGCCATTGCTTCTGCAGTTTGAAGAAGTCTGATTCGTACACCTTTAGGGAGACTACTTCTTACTCTGTAGACGACTTTGAAGTTTGTTTGCGGTGTAGCTTGGTGTCCGGATTCGATCAGATGTTCTAAGATGGAACTGCGGGGGCATCGATTTTCTCCTTTATAAAACCATGCTGGTAAGTGCTCGGTGATACGTTTGGAAAGCGAGCGCTGGGTACGGCCAACATACCTGGCTCCACACGAGCAGGTGAATTGATAAATGCACATTGATGAGGCCAGCAGCGGTAGCTTATCCTTCACGTTCACATGAATCATAGGTTTTGTGGAGAAGGTTAGTCGTAGTTCAGCTGCGAAGAAAGTCTTCTTAAGTGAACGCGACAGTCGATTTTTCAGTGTTTCCGCAGATAGATCTCCATTGAATTGGAGGTTCATGTAGAGTAGTTTTTTCTTGACGCTAAGTATGGGCTGCTTTTCTGGTCTAGGATTCATAGATTTCACAATAAATCTTTCTGGATAGCAGTTCTCGACGAGGATTCTCTTGAGGTTGTCCAGTTCATCTTCTATGGTGTCCGGGGTGCAGATTCTGCGAACTCTGTAGCTGAGTGAACGGATCAGGTTTCGTTTGGTGTATAGTGGTACCCAACTGTGAAAGTTAGTAAGCTGTCCGTTCCACGTCGATTTTCTGTGGATAGATCTTCTCAGTGTTCCATCCTGTTCTCTTCTGGTTAGTTGGACGTCAAGAAAAGATATTGTGGAGTTGGACTCTTTCTCCATCGTGAACTGAATTGCAGGGTGGCAGTTGTTAAACGACTTTAAGATGTCGTCTAGATTTTCTTCGTTGTTGACGATAATGAAGGTGTCGTCGACGTATCTTTTATAGATTTCGAAGGTGTTGATCATTTTCTTCAGGCATGTGTTTTCCAGTTTTGCCATGAAGAAATCTGCAAGCAAAGGGCCTAGTGGTGAGCCCATAGCTATACCATCCTTTTGGCGATATATTTCGTTGTTGAAAGAGAATTGAACATTCAGGGTACACCTCAGTAGGAGTTCTTTAAGATGCTCGGTGGGTATACCGATGTTTATTCCTTTGGAGTGAATAAGTTCGCATATATAGCATATTGTTTCAGTCAGTGGAACGTTTGTGAATAGTGATGTGACATCTAATGAAATCATTGTCTTGTTGGATACGTTAATGTTTTCGATTGAGTCAATAAAGTCGAATGAATCTCGAACTGTGTGGCAGGAAACTTGTTTTCTGATTGGTTCAAGTAGATCTGCTAACCATTGAGCTGTGCGGTGATAGGGTGAATTGGTCATGTCGAGGATCGGTCGAAGAGGGATATCCTTCTTGTGTACTTTCGGGAGTCCGTAAAGTCGTGGTATATTTGAGCCAGACGGTCTAAGGGATTCAAACATTTCGTTGCTGATGAAGGATTCAGTCTTCAACTTACGAAGGGTGTCCGTTAGCTTTTGTTCGGTTTGTTCTTCTCTTCTTCTTATGTCTTCTCTTTTTCATATGACTCAATGGGGATTTTCAATCTACTCAAACGTTGCAAGGACCCAGTGACGGTGAAGGAGCTGGATGGTTTCCTGCGTTACTCCGTCAAGCTTGCGGTAGCGAAGACAAAGATTGATTTCTTAAGAGATTGTATAGATCGACATGAGTATCCAAAGATGTATTGGAAGTCACTGAGACGCAACCACATCCAACCGAATACCAGAACACTCAGACGACACACACGAAACAACATCGACTCCATTCAATCACGCGTCCCTGAGCTAGAGCGAAACGTCTATTCAAGAGCTCATGCAGTCGAAGACTTAGATCAAGAACTACGCCATTCCTTCGAAGAATATGTACAACAAGTCACTCAGAAAGAATGTAACAAGACTAAAGCAGATCTTCTCAAAAGCCTAAAGCCTACAATTAATACCGAATCTCCGTTCCCAAGCAATCCAGAAAAGTACGTATTCAATCTTTCAGACATCACACTGTCTACTACTCAACTAGAGGCACTATCTCTAGGTCCAAAATTCTGCGTAAAACCACCAAGTATTGACAAGCTACAATGCCAGGTTCAGTTCGAAAATCTAATAAACCAAACTTACGATCTCACACCTACATCAGACGAAAACCTACAACAATTCAAAGCATCAATCCTCGACTGTTGTCACAAGTTTATAAATACCAAACACAACGGAAGGTCCATCTTGACGAAAAGGCACCATAAGGAGCTGAAAGAACTTATGAAAAACGAAGAGATTATGATATTACGTCCTGATAAAGGCGGAGGAATCGTAATCATGAATCGCAAGGACTATATCAGTAAAATGCTGACTATACTATCCGATGAATGCAAATTCACAAAACCGATCAATGAGAAAAACATGACTGAACAAACCGAACAAAAGCTAACGGACACCCTTCGTAAGTTGAAGACTGAATCCTTCATCAGCAACGAAATGTTTGAATCCCTTAGACCGTCTGGCTCAAATATACCACGACTTTACGGACTCCCGAAAGTACACAAGAAGGATATCCCTCTTCGACCGATCCTCGACATGACCAATTCACCCTATCACCGCACAGCTCAATGGTTAGCAGATCTACTTGAACCAATCAGAAAACAAGTTTCCTGCCACACAGTTCGAGATTCATTCGACTTTATTGACTCAATCGAAAACATTAACGTATCCAACAAGACAATGATTTCATTAGATGTCACATCACTATTCACAAACGTTCCACTGACTGAAACAATATGCTATATATGCGAACTTATTCACTCCAAAGGAATAAACATCGGTATACCCACCGAGCATCTTAAAGAACTCCTACTGAGGTGTACCCTGAATGTTCAATTCTCTTTCAACAACGAAATATATCGCCAAAAGGATGGTATAGCTATGGGCTCACCACTAGGCCCTTTGCTTGCAGATTTCTTCATGGCAAAACTGGAAAACACATGCCTGAAGAAAATGATCAACACCTTCGAAATCTATAAAAGATACGTCGACGACACCTTCATTATCGTCAACAACGAAGAAAATCTAGACGACATCTTAAAGTCGTTTAACAACTGCCACCCTGCAATTCAGTTCACGATGGAGAAAGAGTCCAACTCCACAATATCTTTTCTTGACGTCCAACTAACCAGAAGAGAACAGGATGGAACACTGAGAAGATCTATCCACAGAAAATCGACGTGGAACGGACAGCTTACTAACTTTCACAGTTGGGTACCACTATACACCAAACGAAACCTGATCCGTTCACTCAGCTACAGAGTTCGCAGAATCTGCACCCCGGACACCATAGAAGATGAACTGGACAACCTCAAGAGAATCCTCGTCGAGAACTGCTATCCAGAAAGATTTATTGTGAAATCTATGAATCCTAGACCAGAAAAGCAGCCCATACTTAGCGTCAGGAAAAAACTACTCTACATGAACCTCCAATTCAATGGAGATCTATCTGCGGAAACACTGAAAAATCGACTGTCGCGTTCACTTAAGAAGACTTTCTTCGCAGCTGAACTACGACTAACCTTCTCCACAAAACCTATGATTCATGTGAACGTGAAGGATAAGCTACCGCTGCTGGCCTCATCAATGTGCATTTATCAATTCACCTGCTCGTGTGGAGCCAGGTATGTTGGCCGTACCCAGCGCTCGCTTTCCAAACGTATCACCGAGCACTTACCAGCATGGTTTTATAAAGGAGAAAATCGATGCCCCCGCAGTTCCATCTTAGAACATCTGATCGAATCCGGACACCAAGCTACACCGCAAACAAACTTCAAAGTCGTCTACAGAGTAAGAAGTAGTCTCCCTAAAGGTGTACGAATCAGACTTCTTCAAACTGCAGAAGCAATGGCGATCCACTTGCTAAGTCCTGAACTCTGCATACAGAAGAAGTTCGTTCAATCACTACACTTGCAATGGACGTAATCTATCTTATTAGCCGACATGTAAATTCTACCTAATCTTTTCTTCTGTCTCTTCATTAGTATTATTTTGCTTTCTCAATTGTAACATTTTACAATTTCAACTTTCTTGTTCTCTACCCCCACCCGATTCAATCTCTACACCCCACTACCACTGTTACTGACCTGAACAACGCTCAGTTTCTAGTCATTCATGTTACGTCATCCAACTTATTCACTCAATTTCACTTCTACTTAATCTCTACCTGTAATTACCTCTGTTGCTATCCTGACCTAAGTTGTAACATTTTAGCCAATTATATTACGTCATCTAGTTGTTTTTTTTAACTCAGTCTTACTTTAGTTGCTGTCTGATTAACTTTGTCTCTATACTACATCATTCTTGTATTAACTAATCAATTATCTAAACTTGACAAACCTCATGTACACACACACACACACACAAATATTTATATATAAATGCGATTGTACAGCTATGTGAATGAATTCGCCGAAAAGAGTCTCTTCGCTGAATGTCTTCTCTTTTTCATATATATATATATATTGTACAGCTTCATGATAAATTCGTTGAAAAGAGTCTCTTCGCTGAATCACCACTTGTTTTGATTTTCTATATAGTTTATTTTACTAAATTTGGACCAATTGAAATTTTATATAATGCTGTTAAATCATTCACACTAGAATGTTTTTGATTTTCTCTAAAAATTGGATTGACGAATTGGTAGAATGGTCGCATGATTCTGTTAGATATAATAATAATAATTTTCTGAAAATTTATCCTTGTAGCGAAACGATTAGTCGTGTAAGGGAAATGAATGTTTGATTTGTGTACTTTCGTATCTACTGTAACATCCAGGTAAAACAGTTCTGTTAGATTTCATTCGCCACTTTGTATCTACAGTTATCACTTCGAGAATATCTTGTTTCAGGATTTCATCATGAGCTGACATTAGTTAGAGAGCCATTGGAAAACCAGCTGGGAGTAATGGACACCTGTTTCGTCCTAGTTTGCGAATCTTCAGCAGTACGCTCGCCGAAGACATTGGCTAGAGGTCGCGCTATGTCGTGAATTGGCAGAAGTTAGAATTCATGGACTGGCCATTGGATCGGGTCCCAGTGGCTTAATGGTCTACGAGCTCGCCTTGTAACCAGAAGGTCCTGGGTTCAAACATCAGTAGAGTGGGTGCGTACTGATGAAGGGTCCCAAACTAGGCTGTCGAAACAGCTGTCCAGTACTCCCCTAGCTGGTTTTCCAATGGTTCTCTCTCTAACTAATGTCAGCTCATGATGAAATCCTGAAACCAATCAAATCCGTACAAAACACTTGAATATCTTGTTTTTTTTTAAAAAAATCTTTTTTCTTCTTGTAGTTGAGAGTACTCTCTTCATGTTGAAATGGTGAAAATTACGCATATCATTTTTGATGTTGATGGACTCCTGCTGGACACAGAATCAGTGTATACTGAATTCACATCTAATTTTCTTCAACCTTATAATTTAACATTTGATTATAATGTGAAAAAAATGATGATGGGACGGAAACCCCGTGAAGCTGCTGAATTACTTATAAAGAAATTTAATCTGCCTATCAGTGTCGATGAATATATTACAAGGCAATCGAATTATTTAACACCAGAGAGATGGAAATCTGTTCAGTGTTTACCTGGTGCAGAGAAGATTATTCATCATTTTGCACGGCATAATATCCCTATGGCATTGGCTACTGGTTGTTGTAGTTATGAACTTGAACAAAAAATGACAAATCATCAAGAGATCTTTGGTAAAATGTCACATTCTGTATGCTCTGGAGATGATCCGACTGTGAGTTTGTGTTGTACATTATTATTATTATTTTTACTTTTTTTGTGTGTGGTTTAAATGAAGCTTTGCATAGCCTAGTGGTGGAACTGTGCCGCGGCCTAATGGCTGTCTAAGCGCTTGGCTACCACCATACGACTGACTGATGGCTGGCTGCTGTCGTTACCTTGGGCATGGTGGTCAGACTTGCATATGTCAATGATCGAAAATAGCTATCCCGAAAGATTTATCAAGAAACACATGACAAAGAAAGCGGAAAAGGACTACTTACTATCCGTAAGTAAGAAGCCTCTTTATATACGACTGTAATTCAAGGGCGATACACCAAGTGAAATAATTACGAAGGAAGATAAGAAAATCAGTTCAAAGAACTTTTAATGCTGGCGAATTACACGTCTTATTCTCTACACAACTGATGGTGATTCGTCGACTGAAAGATGAAGTACCTAGACTAGCTGGTCACTTCAAATTGTATCTACCAATTCAACTGAGCTTGTGGTGGGGCGAGTTATATCGGCCGTTGCTCTAGGAACTTGATTTTTCGTGCTGGCTCGAGAACATCTCCCAGTATGGCTAAGTAAAGGTGTAGTGAAAACCATTAACAGTTCGATATTGGACCATCTGGTGCAAACCGGCCACAAAGCCAGCGTTGAAGAATCCTTCTCTATCATCTACCGGGTGCCTAATAAATTGCCAAAATCATCGAAGCACCGCATGCTCCAAACAGCAGAGGCTATTGCAATTCGCCTCAAACAACCAGTGCTCTGTGTTCAAAAGAAGCAAGTCCAGCCACTACTACTGCCCTGGCCGGCCTTCAGTAGAGACTATAAATTCATGAATTTGTAATATTATCTTTCCTAATTTTTCTGACATTCAGCTTATTTTATGTTGATGCTATTGAGCTGTAATCTATCGATATTATTGATTCGATGTTATTTAAACAACATGAATGTTGTTCATAACACTAATTCATTCATTCACTATAATGTATATATAACTGTAGAGCCTGATGATGAAGTTATCGAAAAGAGTATTCTCTGTTCAGTATCCATTCTTTTGAAAATTTTAATGGGCATTTTTAATCAGTTGATATGTCAAATGACCCAGTGAGATACACTGGCTGGAACTAATGTCCCTCTACAGATCCTACCATTCGAGAAAGGTCGTTTCGATATAGCGATTAGACTAAAAGCAGTCATTGTTATAGTGTAAATTGTCCCAGCTGTGTTGGGGTCTGTGGGTGAATTCGTACTATTGGGGATGTACGGATGTAACAGCAGTGTAAGGTGGTGTTTCCGCCAGTTGACCAAAATGCCAGCAATACGCTGTGCCTCCGCTCTGGAGAGAGAGGGAGGTTAGTAAATAATGGTTGACTCTGAAAATTGTACATCCCCACTTACCTTGTGGTGGTTCGTAGCCAGCGGTAAAGTCTTAATACGGGTGGAATGCCAAAAACCAATTCAAACAGGTTTTGTGTGACTCTGGCGTCAAGTAGTCGTCCCATGAGTTTTGCGGTCAGGCAGTACCAATTCTGTTTGTGTTTCAGGTATGCAGAGAGAAAATCAACTTCTACGATGTAGACAGACGAGAAGTAACAACCGTCTGCATACTGCCAAAAGTCCACAAAGCTCTCCTCACCTTTACGTCTACGTTCCAACCAAATAGACCTCGGGTTCGAATCCCGTCTCATTTACCCAGCTTTGGGCAACCAGATAGTATCACTCACCGTCAGATACAGTAGATGTGACTTATTACCAAGTGCATGGAATTAGAAATGGTTGTTGGGTAATATATATATATATATATATATATATATATAATGGCTTCAGCGACTTAGGCGTTGACTTGTTACCAGGGTGTAGTCTTGTTGACTTAGAATATGCAGCCGATATAGTCTTCCTAGGTGAAGACACTGATAAAGTGCAGAGTCTTCTGAACACCTAGAACAGAAATCTTCGAATGTTTGGCGTGCAGTTTGTTCCTGTCAGTTGTAAGATGATGCTACGGGACTCGACTCGAAGTGGTAGAGCGTCTTAACCACTTCACTATTTGGGAAATCATCGGCCTAAATGGACTGATTATTGACAAAATCTCAGTGCAGATACAAAAGGCTCATGTGGCATTATTGGCCAAGTTACGTCATCTCTGGCTTAGTAGACGCGATATCCAGTTGGTTATCGATCAAGTGATGTGTGTACTGCACCGCATCACTTCTCTGCATACTTCTTTATGGCTGTAAGAAATGCCCATTGAAAGTGGAGAGGATATGAAGAGCCTAGCTGTCTTTGATCACAGGTATCTGAGTTTTATTTCCCATGTTAGGTGGTATAATAGGGTGAGTAATATTGGGGTTAGACGTTGAATGTTGTTAGGTAAGGAGGGAAAGCCAATCAATGAAGTTGTAAAGCTACATGGACATGTGTTACGTATGCGTAGCCATCATCTTCCTTGGCGGTCACTGTTAGCTGACATAGGATGGATCAGGTTGCAAAAGAGCCAGTGGTGGTCAAACCAAAACCTTGCATCAGTCAATGAATTTTGATTGGATACTAGTAACTAGTGTGACATATCTAGTCCTTTCTTTGGTGCAGACTGAATTCTATCAGTCAGGTTTTTTGCAATGTGACCACCTTTCTAGATAGTTCGCCATCACGGTGCACATTGATTTGGTGATATTAGATAATTAGAGGCAATCGGCAATCACACTAGTTACTAGTGTCCAATCAAAATACCCACTACAGTCCTACAGGAGGTCAATGGCGAGCCCGAATAGCTCAGTCGTAACGTCTCTGACTGCAGGCGACACTGGGTGACACGGGTTTGAATCTCAGAAGGGACATGAGTTCCTTCAAGGTTGCAGATACGCTTTGGTGACTGGTGAGTGCCAACTAGCACGAAACCTAGGTCCAAGGCTTCCTGCTGATTGCCTCCAACTATCTAATATCATCAAATCCATGAATTCTTTGATATTTAGTTTGAGCCAGCCACCTAGGGAGGTGTAGGCTTCTTGGTTGGGGGTCGTCAGGATTTTAAAAATCAATGACTGGAGAGAAGTGGAGATATGGTTCAAAATCGTTCTCTGTGGCCTCCAGATGCACTCACTCTTTGTGTCATCCGATATCCATTAAACACTCATGTTTTTCCATGTTACTATTCTTTTTCCTTCATATTTCTGCTTATCGTCGTTCTTTCAAATTTCTTTTCCCCTCTCACTTTTGTCTGCCTTTGTGTGGTGGTACATTATTATTATTATTATTCCCTTGGATTCCTAGTGGAACATAGGGCTTCAACTGCACGTCTCCACTTGCTTCTGTCTTCTGCTGTACTTTTCACTTGCATCCATGTTAGTCCATACTGTTTCACCTCCTCTTCACACGATCTCCTCCATGTCACCCTTGCACCGACGTACCACTCGCCGCTTCCCTTTCGGGTTCCACTCGAGCATTGGCCTGACGCGCGATGTCACCCAACGGCCTCCTCAGCGAGTGTCCAATCCATCTCCACTTTCTCCTGCATATTTGTTGGGCGATTGGTTCTTGTTTTGTTTGTTCCCATAGTTTCTTGTTGGTTTATTCTTTCCGGCCATCTGATCTTCAGTAAAGAGCGAAGACAGCTGTTGATAAAGGTCTGCAACAGGCTGTTGGAAATATTCTTTGTGACCCGCCAAGTTTCTGATCCGTATAGAAGAACTGACTGACTTGACGTTTGTATTGAAAATCCGAATTTTGTTGTTGATTCAGGCTGAGTGACGAAGATTTCCAGATTGGTTTCAGGTTGATGAATGTGTTTCTCGCCTTCCCGATTCTCGATTTGACATCCTCGTCCGTTCCTCCTGTAGTTGAGACAATGCTCTCTAGATGATAAGTGAATGAAGTAACCTCTTTCAAATCCCTCCCGTTGATGGTGATTGGCGCTGGATGTTGCTGCTGTTGTTGTTGTTGTTGTTGGTTGGTTATTTTCATAACCTCCGTCTTGTCTATGTTCACCTGGAGTCCTGTCTTCTCTGGCTGCTTCTTCGACCAGTTTGTCGGTTTTCGCTTGTAAGTCTTCGATTTTGTGTGACATCAAACATAAATCATCCGCGAAATCCAAGTCTTCTAGGTTCTTCACGTCGGTCCAGGATGTCCCTGTCTTCTCGTTTCCCACTGTCTGACGCATAATCCAGTCCACCACAATTAGGAATATCATTGGTGATAATAAGCACCCTTGTCTGACTCCTGTGTTTACTCTAAACGCCTCGCTGAGTTTTCCGTTGTGGATCACTTGACATGTGCCGTTGTCGTAGCAGCTGTTGAATAAGGTTGATGAATATTTGGGGTACGCCGTAGTACTCGAGTAGTTTCCTAATGACTTCGCGGTCAACGCTGTCTGGTGAAGGCCTTCTCAAAGTCTATAAAGTTGAGGTAGTGGTTTGATTGCCATTCCATGCTTTGTTCTGTGATGATGATGCGTAGAGTTGCAATTTGGTCAGAACATGATTTGCCTTTCCTGAATCCAGCTTGTTCTGGTCAGAGTTCTGTATCCAGTGCGTCCGTGGAGTGTGGTAACTCGCGAACTGTTGCACATGTCTGTGCAAAGTCCTATCTTGAAACCAGTCTGTCAGTCAGTCAAATTGAAGTATGCACTGAAGATGTTGCCTAGTAGGGTAATGAAAGCTTCACAAATAAACCATCCAGCTCGGAGAATACAACTACATTAAAATATTCATCTTTAGATAGTATTACTCAGTTTGTCACTTTTCTAAATAATGTGATGCCTAATTTATGTATCCTTATATTTCCTGTATTTAACAATATTATTGTATCATCCAACTCTAATTTATTCTTTTTCTTTTATTATTTTAGATTAAAAATGGTAAACCTAAGCCAGATATCTTTTTGGCTGCAGCGAATAGATTTAAAAATCCTCCACAGTGTTTAGATGAAGTTCTGGTATTTGAAGATTCTCCAAATGGTGTAGAAGCTGCTCTGTCAGCAGGAATGCATGTCGTCTGGATACCTGATCCACGAGAACCGCCTGGAGTTTGTTTAGATTCCCTATCATCTTTTGATATTTCACGTGTTACCAGGCTGACTAGTTTATGTGATTTTAAACCTGAACAATTCGGTTTACCTGGATTTGAGACATGAAAAGTCTTTGTAAATAATTTTAACATTTTTATTTATTATAATAAAGGTTTTTGTATTTCCCAATGAATGAAAAACAAAACGATATTGTTGTTTTTACTGACGTTTCGCTATTTAATGCTGCTAATAGCTTTATCAAAGTAGTATTATTAAACCAGAATTTACAAAATCTCAGCATATATATAACAAAGAGTTAAGAGGTGAGAAAATAGACTTAGGTCAAGTTAAAAGGACATATTGAAAGTCAAAATAACAATGAAAATCACTAAACCAAATAACAAAGGTAATAGTACATCTGTTATGGTATCAAAACAAAGTTTAATAACTTGATCATCGTTCGTCAGTCTGGGGTCATTTTTTTTCGTTGTCAAGTTGGTCAATTGGTAAAGATAACAAAACCAGGTGTAGATTTCTGGATTTGATCAGTGTGTAACATTATAAAAGCAGTGTGTGTTTACATAGTGAACTTGTATATCACATTCGTGTTGATTTTGTCACTTCATGGGGGAGGGAGGTGTTGTAACCAGGTCAGATTTTGTTTCAGTCCATCATTCCTGTTCAGACAATTTGGATTCCACTTGATATGAAGTGCTTCTGATATTAGACGTTCTTTGTGATTCCTGAAGTTCTTCTGGATGATGATTTCAATATTGTCAAAATCAATTTTGTGGCCAGATTCTATAGCGTGGCTGACGATTTTTCAGGTTTTTCTAGTTCAGCCGGATTTCTCAGTGGTCGAACAGGTGCTCTACGGTGTTAATTTCTTCTGATTTTGATTTCTCGAGATGTTTGTCCGATGTATATCGCATCACATTCCAAGCATTTTGTTTTATAGATACAATTAGGTAGAGAATCTTTAGGGATTTAGTCTTTTATATGGACAAGGTTGTTTGGTAGTGTGTCTGATGTTTTGAAGAAAACTCTACTGTCGAGCTGATTGAGTACTCCTCTTATATCGTCTGACGTCTCTGCTCTATATGCAATGACGACTGTTGAGGTCCATGTTTTCGGAATGCGTTTTTAGCCATGCTTGGTGTTGATTTTGTTGACGAAGTCCCTTGGGTAGTTGTTTTGCTTGAGAGTTTCAGTAAATGACCGGCATATTTTTGATATCCTTCAGTTTACTTGTTTTTTCTGGGTAGTATTTAATATAATTTTAAATGTGTTATGATAGAGGTAGCGTTGGTGGCCCAGCGGTAGAATCCTTGTCATTCACGCCTGAGGTGGTTTGGGGTTCGACCCCCAGCCACCAACTCACTCCTTTACCTCGCTAAGCCAGTAAGTAATAAGACTGGTGCAGAGGGAAGGTTGGGCTTGGCATGAGGTTAATAACCCTATCCCGTAAAAAAATAAATACCACTACTACTGAAGTCCTATTTTCCATTGGGAACGTAAAGGAATAAAAAAATGTTAGAGGTGAATCGTCTGATTGACTGAGTTTCATAAGAAAAAGGCACAAACAGCGAAGAAAATTTTCTTTTCGACGATTCATTTTCATGAGCTGTACAATCGTAATTATAATTAACAAAGAAATCTTTAGACCAATCAGATACTGGTAAATTTTGTCCTTGGAAAATTGTATTACATAATGTAAGGTGTAGGAAGGGATGACTAATTGTAAGTTAGAAAGGAGACAGAAGTTGGCATGACGTAATAAGTGTGAGATAGTGAATAATCAATAATCTCGTGTGAAATGGACAGGAACTAGTGGAAAGGCTATAAAGTGTTTTTGTATAAAATATGTATGAAAAACAATGTTATTAATAAACAGTAATACATATTTTATACAAAAACACTTTATAGCCTTTCCACTAGTTCCTGTCCATTTCACACGAGATTATTGATTATTCACTATCTCACACTTATTACGTCATGCCAACTTCTGTCTCCTTTCTAACTTACAATTAGTCATCCCTTCCTACACCTTACATTATGTAATACAATTTTCCAAGGACAAAATTTACCAGTATCTGATTGGTCTAAAGATTTCTTTGTTAATTATAATTACGATTGTACAGCTCATGAAAATGAATCGTCGAAAAGAAAATTTTCTTCGCTGTTTGTGCCTTTTTCTTATGACTCAATATGGGAATATTTTGTTCATTGACTGAGTTTCAATATGGAATTTGTACAGAAGCGAGAGGGAGACAGAATAGTCACATAGAAAAAACATAAGGGTTTATTGTCTATGGCAGATCACAAAGATTGACTATATCTTCGCCGCTGAAAACGATTTCGAGTACAATCACCAATTGTCTCCAGCCGTTGGTTCTTAGCATCCTGAGGTCCCAGACTAGGCAGGCAGCCTACATCTCTCTATTTGACTTGCTCAAATCAACTGTCAAAGACTTCATGAATTGATATCAGGTTCCGGATTGACCATCACTAACTCTAATCCAGTCTATCCCTATATCAGGTAACCCTGCTTGTTGAAAAAGGCGATTGACTTGCCTTCTTTATCTCACAACACTTGACACCTAACAACCTCAGTATTACTCACCCTATTATACCACATAACATGGGAGGTGGAACGCAGACACCTATGATCAAAGACAGCTAGCCTCTTCATGTCTCACACCCATAAAGGAGGATAGAATGAACTCATGTGGTGCAGTACACACGTCCTTTGATCGGTACCCAGTTGGATATCATGTCTACAGCAGAGGTGACTTAAGTTGACCAATGCCACACGAGCCTTTGATATCCGTGCTGAGATTTCTTCAGTGCGCAGAGCGTTAGGGCTGATTGGAACTTCCAAAATAAGTGAAGCGGTCAACATTGTTTACCACTTCAGTCCCTCCTTTTAGACCAGGAGTCGATGTTGTCCAACCCTTCAGCATCATCTTATATTTAACTGAGCAAATTGCATGTCCAATATATTCAAAGATTGCTGTTAAAGATGTTCAGACGGCTGTACACTTTATCAGCGTCTTCACCTAGGAGAAATATATCATCCGCCTATTCTAGACACTAAATCAAGACCCAGTGGTTAGAAGTTGAGTGCCTAGGTCAATGAACCACATCGAATAGTTGTGTCCGAATGCTTATCTTGGCCAAGTTAAACTTTAAGCACCATTAACTACCAATGGAGTGCGACCGCACCGATGACCTTGAAACGCCCATTGCGTAAATTAGTGAAACCTAGCAAAGAATGTTGTCATCATCAATAAAATATGCTCATCAAAGTGTTATGCTATTAAATGGCATATCTTGCAAGTTTTAGTTTAGGTTTGGGAAAGATGAAGTTACGCTTTAAGCCAAGGACAAGTTAGGGTTAGGTTAACCTAATAAAGGCGATATTAGGATTGGTTCGAGTTAGATTACAGTTAGTTTAGGGATATTTTCACGTTAGGGTTAGGTTCAGCAAAAATTAGGGTTAGAAGACCTAAATAATTACATGCATGGAATGTGGTTTAATTACTCAGTTGATATAAAATATAACTTGTGCACTGTGGCAGAGTATAATTCCATTGTGGGTAAAATTATTTTGATAAATTCTTAGAGTGTTATACAGTAATATTTACTGAAGAGGTTTCGAGCACAATCTATTGCTCAGTAAATATTACACCCTGAGACCTAATCAAAATAAATTTTACCCACAATGGAATTATACTCTGTTGATACACCAACCTAAAACTGAGAGCTACTTTTATTACATGTGAGAGAAAGGTATCCTCTGTAACACTTTTATACAGTTTTTATGCATTTTTTTCCATAAATATATGTATTCCATACAGAAAAATGCCTCCTTCACATGATTGGTGCGTTCGAGGTCATTTGCTGATTGGTAGTTAGTTAGTGGTGCTTAAAATTTAACTTTGCTCTTATCTTAATTAACAGTTATACGATTTGAATATTTTTTTCTACAATGCTGAGCAAGAATGCAACAGTTTGTAACAATCCTCTCATGGTATATTCTTTACTCCGTTTATGTGCAAAGTATTATTTCAGGACTTGCAGGAGTAGTCTGTATTCACACTTACCCTTGTAGATAAACCTCTGGAAGTAGTCAATGCGTCCATATAACCAGATAGTTGTGTGAATGTGACTGATGAGTTCTCCGACAGTATTAGTGAAATCCAGGGTGACATGTGTCAACGTTTTGACTGCTTGTTGGACATCAAGGCATACACAGCTTGAATGTATCCCACCAGTATAGGTTTCAGATTTCTACACGACGGCTAATTGTAGGTACAAAACGTTGTTGAATTTGAAGCTGGAGGTGTTGCGTTTCAGCACTGATAAATGAAATGAATTCAACTTATCTTGTCAAAAGGTGTTCTCAACAAACTCTTTCCTGATTTGATAATGAGGCTTAACACACTATTATATTTTGGTATTTTAGTCTTCTGTCAAGTTATTATGATGAGTGGTGCAGAAGACTGTAGACCAAGTGAACATAGGAAATTTGGCGCTTCTCATTACTATCCATTGTGAATTGACGAAATATTAACTCGGAAAATTAAGTCAAAATATTCTGGCTACTTAAGACATATGTGAGTAGTTAATAGCTTCTTACTAAAACCTTTTAGTTAAGTTAGAATGGAAAAATGTGTCCAATACAAAATATCCCTCTGTGAATTTCTCGACGAATACATATTGAAATATCAAGTTTAAAATGTATCATTTACTCTTTTTTCTTAACATCCAAATGACATAAAAGTATCAGGCTATATACTACTGATTGATTGAGATGAGTAATTGGATACCATTCGCGTCAGACAGCAGTGCTTACTAGCCAGGTCAAAGCGATTGAAAGATTAGATAACTGTCTCCGCCATTTGAGACCAGTCTCGTAAACGGTGTACTCGGTTTAATTTAGCTCACAGAGCTGAGTTGAATTAATGCAATCCATTTGGAAGAAAGTTGTGTCAATATTATTATTATTGTCCCCTAGGGTTCCGAGTGAAATATACGGGTTCAGCAGCACATCTCTACTTTCTTCTATTTTCTGCTGTCCTTTTCAGCTGGACCTAAGACTGCCCATAATCTCTCATCTCCTCCTCCAATTCACACGATCTCCCCTATGTCACCCTTGAATCGATGACCCACTCGTCACTTCCCCTTGGGATTTCACTCGA